GCAGACAGCCGCACCCGAGAGAGACAGAGGGGTTTGTACCCTATGGCCTCAGTGACAAAAGTCTAACCTCCTAGGTCATGCTCTTCTAGACCAGTATCCCTCACCTCACTGGTTACTAAAACCTCTGACCAGCCAGTGAAAAACAAGACAGTGGCACAGGTACAGGACCAGTTGGACCCATCTCAGATTGCTTACAGGGCAGGTAGGGCTGGAGAATATGCTACAATATCCCTTCCTAACCTGATCCTTCTCCAGCTTCACACTAGCCTGCTGCTTGTAGATTTCTCTCCAGCAATTAAACAGTATTTACTGGGAACTAAGCCATTGTCTAATCTTGGTCTTGATCTTAATCAAGTCAGCTGGATCAGTGATGTGATTACAGATGAAACTTAGAGGGTAACAATGCCCTGTCTAACAAGCTGTATTCTTCCACTGGTTCCCCCAAATATGTGTCTCGTCTCCTTACTTTGTCCTGCACACACATGACTGCCAGATTCCTCACCACTCCAGACACATAATGAAACCTGCAGAGGGCTCTGTTATTATTAGCCAGTTGCCTGCAGAAGTGTGGAGCCACAGGCCAGTGTCAAAGGAGCCACTTGGGGAGAACTAAACTATTTGAAGTGGAATGTCTCCAGGACCAAAGACGGGGCAAGTGACTTCAAGGAGACGCCCACTCAAACCTGCATCCGGAGTGGAGGAGGTGGCAGGTAAGTGTTTATTGACTGTTCTAGACTGCAAGCTCAACTGAGGCAAACATCAACTGCGTCCCAAGAAAAGGGGGCAACAGAGTCTTTTTCTTAAGGCATTTGAAATATTTTAAGGCTGATAATCCGTTGAGTCTTTTATAGAATCTGCTTTAGCTGTAGCACTGAGCTGCTGGTTTGGGAAGCTCTAAAGAGTAAGAACAAACTGGAGATTTTGTCATGCTGCCATACTCACTGGTGCTGACCTTTCGGCCCTGCTCCATGTCTATCAGTGACGAGTTCTGCATAAAGCATATTGCATCCTAGAGGACCTCTCGTGCCTTTTATTTAAAGAAATCTAATTAGTCCCCTCAGAACCCAGAATCACGCTTCCCAATATAAAGTTTCAGTTCGCATTTATAGCTGCGACCGTAACCCTGCGGTTCTCCAGTTCCCGTATGTGTAATTGTTTTGTTCTTCATATTGTCCGCTGCTGTATAACTAACCACCCTTTGGGGATAATAAAGACTCCATCTTGGTCTGACCCGTCCGTACTGCTCATCTGAAATCGTGCTCGTCTGTCATTCGCACGTCAGAGTAAATTTCAAGGCCTGGGAGGTGGAGGCTGTCATGACCTGGGAGTCTTTTTGTGGCAGATGTACGGCGCTGCATGCAGGTCGCAGGAACTCAGAGCTGAAGTGTGAGCAGGGAGCACAGGCTGCAGAGGAACAGGCAAAGTTTATCCCAAGCACTCCTTTCCAATCCATTCCTTTCTGCATGGAATAAGCCTTTGCCTGTTCCAAAGCTCTGTACTGGCCTATGCACGGCTAGGGTTAGTCAAGCCTGGAGGCTCAGGACTCCCCGTGTGAGCAGAAGCTCCAGCCACACAAGCAAGCCGGGCCGAACGGGCTCGGGGCAGGAGGCTTGCTCTGTCCCGCCTCTCCGACATGCCATCGCTCACCTTGGAGCGCGTGGTGTGGCGCTCCGTGCTGTCCACCTTGCAGGTGACGGGCGTGTCCCGCAGGAGCAGCGGCACCCCCTTCTCTCTCACCGCCTGCAGGTGATGGATCACCAGGAACGGCCGCTCGTCTGGGCAAAACAGGGCAGAGGTCACACAGGGCAGGCTGGGCTCTGTAGTTCTCGTGTCTGGTGCATGATGGGCTTTGTAGTCTGTGTCCTTCTGGGCTACACGCATGATGCAATTGGCTAGATTATAGGCCCTCTCCCCTGGGTTACTCAGGACTTTAAACTTGTGTAAATGTAACTCAACTATACCATAAAACAGAGTCAAGGAGAACTAGTGCATAGGGGCAGGTGGTGTGGGGAGCTCCTCCACAGAAGGAATGGCGTGAAGTCTAGGTGAACACCACCAGCCTCCCCCAGGGCTGCGCCTGGCCTTTCAGTCTCTGTGCTGTCACACCTGGGAAACTTCTGCGGCAGCTTCTGTTTACAGGCCAAACCGCAGCCCTTATTGCAATTGTCACTTGCGCTTCCCCGACTCCGCTGTGCGCCAGAATGTCATTAAATGTGCTCTTGCTGTAGGAGTATGCTGACCTGGCACTTTTCATCTAATTATAGGGTTTTAAAGCCCTTCTGCTGTTCTCTCAATCTGCAGCCCTCCACGCCTCCGCCTTCAGTGACTAGCACGCACACGCCCGCTGTCTTCCAGTGACTGGGAAACCCTGATGAGGCTCCACTCTGCTCTCCTGTCCCTCCTTGTCTTGCCAACACAGCAAGACTTGCAGTCTCAGACTTGAAGAGTTACCCAGGGAGAGTGTGTGTATACCTGTTCTTAATGATCTCCGTACTCCTTCATTTCTTTTCTACGTTCTAAAACATTTTACTTTCCACCCCCTACAGCCAACATAATACATGCTGGCATCTGTGCACCCATTCCTACCCCAGCAAGTACATGCGGGCATCTGTGTACCCAGCGGGTACACACCAGGATCTGTATTCTCATTCCTACCCTAGCGGGTGCATGCTTGGATCTGTATTCTCATTTCTACCCCATCAGGTGCATGCTGGGATCTGAGTACCCATTCCTACCCCAGCGGGTGCATGCTGGGGGATGTAGTCCCAGCGGCTCCATGCCTCACCTGTGGCCTCTCGGAGGCAGTCCAGCTCGTCCTCGGAGATTGGCAGATCATCTCTGTGCAATCGCCTTGTGAGCACCGTCGCCTGCGTCGCCTCCACCACGTCCTCCTCTGGAGAAGCCATGGTACTTAAGCCCCTTCTCCAACCCCTGATCACTCAGCTGGAAAAGTTTAAAACCAGACGCCTGAACATTGTATGGCTTTTTGTCTAATTGTTAGGAAGAAAAGACCCAAATACAATTGAATTCAAGCCTGTCTGGCTCATGTTTCTGGCTGAAAGCCGAGCTGTTCTGAATGTGGCGTGTCCCTTGTGTCCTGGCGACTGGGTTGACATGCTCTTGAGTAACGACCCATGAGGACTTGCTGTTGTGTGTACCAGCTGTCTCCCCCACTGCCCCTGGTGTCGACCTCTCCTTGAACTCCCGCTAGCTGGGGAGGGGAGCTGTTCTTGCCACAGTACAAACACAGGTGGGTACACAGTCGGAGTCTGCCCCTGTGCTGTGGGAGGGGTGTGTGTCGGTTAGGGCACTGGTATGTCAGCAACTGGAGAGACTGTCTGTTCCACCAAAATTAAATTCTGACACAGCAAAATAGAGCCTAAAGATTTGGGGTCTGCACCCAGCACAGTGCCAAGTACAATGCTGACTCATAGTTAAGCAGCACAGTGCTCAGTAGAGCTCAGACACACAATTACACAGCACAGTGCTCAATAGAGCTCTGACACACACAGTTACACAGCACAGTGCTCA